CTGCAGCCTCTGCCTCCCAGGTTCAAATGATTCTCCTGCCTCAGCCTCCCAGGTTCAAATGATTCTCCTGCCTCAGCCTCCCAAGTAGCTGGGATTACAGGTGCGCACGACCATGCCCAACTAATTTTTGTGTTCTCAGTAGAGATGGGGTTTCACCATGTTAGCCAGGGTGGTCTCAAACTCCTGGCCTCAGCTTCCCAAAGTGCTGGGATTACAGGTGTGAGCCACTGTACCCAGCCTTAATTAATTTTATTAAATAACATATTTTTGTTCTTTTTAAAAAAAGAAAACTTCAGAATTTGCATGTCATCCTTGCACAGGGGCCATGCTAATCTTCTCTGTATTGTTCCAATTTCTTTCTTTCTATCTATCTATCTATCTATCTATCTATCTATCTATCTATCTATCTAGAGACAGAATCTCTCTCTGTCACCCAGGCTAGAGTGCAGTGGTGCAGTCTTGGCTCATTGCAACCTCCAACTCCCGGGTTCAAGCAGTTCCCCTGTCTCAGCCTCCCAAGTAGCTGGGATTACAGGCATGTGCCTCCACACCCAGCTAATTTTTGTGTATGTAGTATAGTTGGGGTTTCACCATGTTGGCCAGGCTGGTCTCAAACTCCTGACCTCAGGTGATCCACTCACCTTGACCTCCCAAAGAGCTGGGATTACAGGTGTGAGTCACCACACCCAGCCCTCATTCCAATCTTCATATATGTGCTGCCCAAGTGAGTACCTACCTCACTGAATTTTAGAGAACAAGGTAGGAAATTTACATTTCAAAGCACAGAGAAGGAATTTAAGGTTTCCAGAAGGCCACTGAAGTTTTCCATTTTTTTCCTTCAGCAAAAAATCATACCAACAAGAAAGGAAGGGAACTGAGAAAGGGACTCACCAGAGAATTAAAAGAGGGGTTTCAGTCACTTGGAAGAAATTCCCCAAAACAAGATCCAAAATAGAAAAAAGCAGAAATCCCCTATTTAAAAAATTATTGTCTGAATATCTGCTTTTAATTAAGTTAACTTTGGACTATAGAGCCCTTAAGAAAATCTTTTTATCAGGTTTTAGACAGGTAAATAATGAACATTCTTGTGTGTGTGTGTGTGTGTGTGTGTGTGTGTGTGTGTGTGTTGGCTTTTCCTTTCTGAAATTTAGTTTAAGAAGAGTTTTGGAGGAGGGGCATATTTGTTTATTAGAGGTCTAGAGTAACCACTCTTTTTTTTTTTTTTTTTTTGTGAGATGGAGTCTCACTCAGCCACCTAGGCTGGAGTACAATGGTGCATTCTCGGCTCACTGCAACCTTCACCTCTCAGGTTCAAGAAATTCTCCAGCCTCAGCCTCCCAAGTAGCTGGGATTACAAGTGCCCCATGTCTGGCTATTTTTTTTTTTGTATTTTTAGTAGAGATGGGGTTTCACCATGTTGGCCAGGCTGTTCTGAAACTCCTGACCTCAGGTGATCTGCCCACCTCGGCCTCCCTAAGTGCTGGGATTACAGGCGTGAGCCATCACGCCTAGCCACAAGTTACTCAAAGCCAACATATATAGGTGTGCATGAGACCAATAGCAGGAGCCCATAGAGCCCAGTAAACAGTAAGCACTCAGTGCTGGCTAGCTGTTCTCTTTATCATCATCATTGGCATCCTCATCTATGTATGGGTGGCTGATAAATCTTCGAGATCATGGATGAGGAAGACTTTGGAAGTCAAGACCCAAACTGTGAAGAAGGACAGGTTATCCCAAGCAAGGGCAAGATACTAGAGCTGCCTTGTAGCACTGTAGAGTTATAATAAAATGGAACCAGCAGCCCATTATTTGTGGGGGTGCTGGGGAAGATGAGGACCCAAGGGGAAACCACTGAGAGCTAGTGGTCAGCTTGACTCAGGAACTTCCCACAACCAGAGTTTTGACCCATGATAGTACAGGATTTGGAGGAGGGGTGAGTTCCCCATCCCAGGAAGTGTGCAGAGCCAAGGCTCAGTGGGCAGCTGTCATCAGGAAGAGGATTCATGCACTGGTGACAGGTTGAAGGAAGTGGCATATCAGGTTCTTTATTTGGTCTTGGTCTCTCTGAATAAGGGTCCCAAGATTCTCTCCCCTGTTGTGGTCACTGAGCCAGCAAGGGTTCATAACATAATATGTGATTAAACATATTAAGGCTGGGCAAGGTGGCTCATGCCTGTAATCCCAGCACTTTCGGAGGCTGAGGCAGCACTTTCCCAACCTGAGGTTGGGAGTTCGAGACCAGCCTGACCAAAATGGAGAAGCCCCATCTCTACTAAAAATACAAAAATTAGCCAGGCATGGTAGTGCATGACTATAGTCCCAGCTACTTGGGAGGTTGAGGCAGGAGAATTGCTTGAACCCAGGAGGTGGAGGTTTCGGTAAGTCAAGATCATGCCATTGTACTCCAGCCTGAGCAACAAGAGCAAAAATCTGTTCAAAAAAAAAAATTAAGTTACATATAGCATAATAAATATATTTACATAATAACATTACATTTTCATTTATAATTACATTAAAATGTACACATTTACATTCATATTTACATTAATATGATACATATCTATAACTATTTCATTCTTACATTTTGGTTGTATACTTTTAGGTTGACTTCTTCATGTGACATTGATTTTGTAATGTCATTTTCTTTAGAGAGAATAAGAAGATTTTAGTCTTTTCTCTAGCACAGTTGACCAATTTTTTTTTTTTTTTTTGAGACAGAATCTTGCCCTGTTGCTGGACTATAGTGGTGCTATCTTGGCTAACTGCAACCTCCACCTCCTGGGTTCAAATGAGTCTCCTGCCTCAGCCTCCTGAATAGCTGGGACTACAGGTGTGCCATCATGCCTGGAGAACTTTTGCAATTTTAGTAGAGACGGGATTTCACCATGTCAGCCAGGCTGGTCTCAAACTCCTGGCCTCAAACGATCTGCCCACCTTGGCCTCAAAGTGCTGGGATTACAGGTGTGAGCCACCACACCCGGCCCCCATTTTTTTTTTTAAGACAAGGTCTTACTCCATTGCGCAGGCAGGAGTACAGTTGTCTGATCTTTGTGCACTGCAGCCTCAAACTCCTGGGCACAAGGGATCCCCCTGTCTCAGCCTCCCAAGTAACCAGAACGCTGGGCATGCGTCTCCATGCTTAACTAATATTTTAAGATTTTGTAGAGCCCACTCTCACTATGTTGCCCAGATTGTTTTTGAACTCCTGGCCTCAAGCCATCCTCCCACCTTGGCCTCCCAAAATGCTGGGCTTACAGACATAAGCCCCACATTTTTTATGGTCCCACATATTTTATAGTTAAAGTTTCTTTCAGCTTCACAACTTATCATCGGCACAGTAACTCCCTCTTGTGCAAGGTTTTGTTTCCTGAGGTTTCAGTTGCCCATGGTCAACCAGAGTCTGAAGATATTAAATGGAAAATCCCAGAAATCAACAGTTCATTAAGTTCTACATTGTATGCTCATCTGAGTAGCGTGATGAAGTTTGGTGGTGTCCCACTCCACCCAATCCTGTCCCACCGGGGGCGTGAATTGTCCCTTTGTCCAGCATCTTCACTACCTGCCCATTAGTCAACTTACTAGTTGTCTTGGTAATCAGAACAAAAAAAAAACATAGTCTAAATAGGATTCCATACTATCCAGTTTCAGGCACCCATTGAGGGTCTTGAAATGTGTCCCTCGAGGATAAGGGGAGACTACTGTAGAGTCATAACATTCTAGGATTGCCGTCAAATGTAGAAGAACCTCTATCAAGTTGCTTTCATATCAGAGCTGTAAGATTTCTGGACTTGCTATGTTTCCTTCATAACTAATCTTAAAAACTTTCTGAACTGATGCCATCTATTACACCCTTTTTGTAGTGGTATATTTGGACTTTTGTTATTTTCATCAATGTCAGTATTCTGTGACAACTTCTCCTTAGCTAGATCCCCCAAAATACCAGAACCACTTGGGCAGAACCCAAAAGCAGGGGAAGTGTGACAAAGAGGGAAGCTGGAGGGGAAAGAGGCAGCATTCTTGATAAATTACAGCTAAAACATCTTACGTTGGCAAATTCGACTAAGACATGTGATGCCTAAGTAGGCATTTCTCAGCCCCTCCCAGGACCCTGGAAGGCGCCTGGCAAGTGAGGGACTCTAAGGCTTAAGCTTGTGACTTTCACAGTAAGTTTGCTACATCCACTTCTGCCTCTCCCCAGCATAAAATCCCTACCTCACCCACACCGGATGAACATGCTCAACAGTGCCTCATTTTGTCCACCTCCACTCAAGCATTGTTTCTTACAGGAAGCCTCCAGAACAAGTTAGCTGCCCCTGCCCCCACCCCATTATCTGTGTCGTGAGGCTGGAGGCCATGACTGTCTAGTTCCCTCTGTACCCTCAGTAGACTGAGCAGTGGCAGGTACATAGAATCAGGCTCAGAGGGCTGAAGTAAGCTGCTGGGGTCATGCAGATAGGAACTGCCAGACCTGGGGGATCAGCCAGAATTAATGAATGAATGAACTCCAGCTTCCCAGGCTCAGTCAGGGAAACCTCATTTCTTTCTTTCTTTTTTTTCCTTTTTTTTTGAGAGAATCTCCCTCTGTCACCTAGGCTAGAATGCAGTGATGCGATCTCAGCTCACTACAACCTCCACTTTCTGGGTTCAAGCGATTCTCTTGCCTCAGCCTCCCAAGTAGCTGGGACTACAGGCACACTTCACCACTCCTGGCTAATTTTTGTATTTTTAGTAGAGACAGGATTTCACCATGTTGGCCAGGTTGGTCTGGAACTCCTGACCTCAAGTGATCTACCTGCCTCAGCCTTCCAAAGTGCTGGGATTACAAACGTGAGCCACCATGCTCGGCCAGAAGCCTCATTTCTTACCAGAGCCCTCCATGGCCTGCTTCCCATCCTCCATCCTGGAAGAGTCATCTGGAACCCCAAGAGGAGGTTTTCTGCGCCCTGAGGCAGAGGCCTGTCACCTTGAAAATGAATCTAATGACTGCACTTCCCTTGCAGCAGGAGAGGACTACAGATAGCATGGGATTGGAGGAGGAACTCTGGCCCTGGAGACAGCATCGTCGAGCAGTAGCTTCATCTTTGTGAGCTGGGGCCTCGGCAGAAGCTTCCTCTTCTCTACAGGCTGAGCCTGTCTCGACCCGCCCCCCTACCTGCACCCTAGTCCTTTGGGGTCACCTCAAGGCTTTGGCTGATGCTTCTTTGCTGATGTCAACCAAGGTGATAAACCTGTTTGTCCTCATAAAGAAACTCTTGAACGGGCATGCACTTCTTCCTCCCTCCTCTTGCTTTAAAGGCTGGGTGGGCACCTGCCACCATGGGCAGGGTGAGAGCCAGCCCCATACCTTCGAGGTCAGAAGGCAGCTGTCCCTGGCCTGTGGGTGTCTCTCAGAGGGGCCAGGCCTTCCTCACCATCGGTCCCCAGCACCTAGCCTGGGGCCTGGCCCAGGGGCACGCTCAGTAAATGCTGGCTGAGAATTAAGGGGGACTTTCCGGTTCCTCTCCAACTCTTTCATTTTCTTTCTCTTTCTTTTTTTGAGACAGAGTCTTAGTCTGTCATCCAGGCTGGAATGCAGTGGCATGATCTTGACTCACTACAACATTTGCCTCTTTCCTGAGTGGGTCATGATCCTCATGTTGCTCATAGCAAAAGAGGCCAAAAACTAGAGTGATCAAACCATCCTGGTTTACCATGTCTGAGGAGTTTATCGAAATACAGAGTTTTCAGTGCTGAAAACAAGAGTCCCAGGGAAATTCCCAATGGTTGGTCACCCTACAGAACAACCATACCAACAGGATTAGCCCTCACACACCCGCCTGGGCACGCACGGTACACAATTACTCCCCTTTCTGTTGCTATCATAGAACCCCTGGGACTGGGTAATTGACAAAGAAAAGGGGTTTGTTTCTTACAGTTCTGGAGGTTGGGAAGTCCAAGATAGGGTGGCTGCATCTGGTCAGCTTCTGGGGAGGGCCTTGTGCTGTGTTGTAACATGGCAGACAGCATCGTAGGGTGAGTGGAAGAGAAAGCTGAGGCAGCCAAACTCACTTTTGTAATGACCTGCTCTCAATAACTAACCCACTCCTATGAGAATTAACCCACTCCTGTGAGAAAGGCATTAACCCCTCCTAATGACCTAATCCCCTCTTCAATGCCCCACCTCCCAATACCATTTCACTGGGGACCAAATTTCTACATGCGTTTTGGTGGAGATGAACCACATCTGAACCATAACACACACACAGCGTAAAATGGTTATCCCCTGTTGCTTACCACAACCCCCAACCTCCAGGCCCACCTCAGCAGCCCTTTTAAGAGAAATAGATGGTAAAATGGTTCAGAGGGTAGCCTCTGGAACTAGGCTCTGGGAGCTTCAGTTCCAGCATTCATTAGGTATATGTGTTTGGGCAAGTCACTTTGCCTCTTTCTGCCTCAGTTTCCTCATCTATAAAATGGAAAGAATAACTGACACTAAGTTCTACCCTGTCAGGTCATTGTAAGGATTGAGTTAACAGATGCAGAGCAGTTAGAATGGTGCCTGTCATGGAGTAAGCCACACAGGTCATGACTCCTTAACTGAAACTCCAATGTCTCAGGGTCCTGATGCATTTTGGAATTTGGGGAGTTTCGGGGTTTTGGAAAGCACATGACTTATTTAACACACTAGTGGGTAGTGGAATCTGGCTCAGCATCCCATAATGGAACACATTAATATTTCTGCAGAAAACAATATGTGAGTATTCATTCATCTATTCAGACTAGGTTTTTGCTACTGAATGAGTTTTGGTATTAAATTATTTTGTTCAGAAACGTTGGGATCTCTGAAGTGTGGATAAGGGCTTGTAGATGTGTGTAAGGGTTTTTATCATTATTGTTCAATGTGCATCTGATATAACTGCCATGCAGTTGCTTCTTGAGGACAACTCTGAGCTTTCATGCCCAAGGCCCTTCTGAGCTCTTGGAGTTTTCTAACAGGGCCTTCCTGCACCAAGAGCTCTGAACAACCTTTGAAGGCTGACGGGACACTCTTCTTCCTTCTCTACCCAGGTCCTCAATTTAGTGATGTCCCCCTGATCCTTTCAGTGTGGTAGTAGAGGTTGGCAGGAGAGGGGTAGATTGCAAATGCCATCTCCATGAGCCTTCCCCAGCCTGACCCCCCACCCCTCAATCCCAGCTGGTCCCAGCGTGGGGGAAGGGGAACAGGTTATGTGGAAGTGATGCAAGCCACTCTTCTGGCAAAGCTATCATGGGTTCAGGCACTTCTGACCTGCACAAGCAAGATAATGGAGCTGAAGGAGGCTTATGACCCCACGGCTGCCCGTGGGCATGCACAGATGTCTCCGTGGCAGATACTGTAGCACTTTCAGAAAAGTGTTGGGGCTGGGTGCGGTGGCTCATGCCTGTAATTCCAGCACTTTGGGAGGTCAACGCAGGTGGACCACTTGAGGTCAGGAGTTCAAGACCAGCCTGGCCAACATGGTGAAACCCTGTCTCTACTAAAAATATAAAAATTAGTTGGGTACATGGCACATGCCTGTAATCCCAGCTACTCAAGAGGCTGAGGCAGGAGAATCACTTGAACCTGGGAGGCAGAAGTTGCAGTGAGCTGAGATCACACCATTGTACTCCAGCCTGGGTGACAGAGTGAGACTCCATCTCAAGGAAGGAAGGAAGGAAGGGAGGGAGGGAGGAAGGAAGGGAGGGAGGGAGGGAGGGAGGGAGGGAGGGAAAAACTTGCCCCGAAGCCACAAAGTTGTAAGTGATCATCTACATTTGATCATGGCCTCAATCTGGCCACCTGCCTTGCCCTCTCAAAGTGCTGGATTACAGGAGTGCCACTGCACCTGACCCTGATCATCTGTATTTGAATTTGAAACTTTTTAAAAATTTTGTTTAGATTCTATGTGGTTTTTACAAAAACTTAAATTTTTTTTGGTTCAGATTCTATGTGTTTTTAAACATTTCATTTATTTTGAGACCGAGTTATGAGACTGGCTAATTTTTGTATTTTGGGTAGACAGGGTTTCACCATGTTGTCCTGGTCTTGAATTCCTGGGCTCAACAGGTCCACTTGCCTTGGCCTCCCAAAGTGCTTGGATTACAGGCATGAGCCACTGCACCCAGCCTGAGTTTGCAACTCCTGATTTCTCAACCCCTTGCTCAAAGTTTCACCGAGGAAGACCCTAGAGCCCAAGGGAGTCTCACTCTGTTACCCAGGCTGGAGTGCCATGGTGCGTCTTGGCTCACTGCAACCTCCGCCTACCAGGTTCAAATGATTCTCCTGCCTCAGCCTCCCGAGTAACTGGAATTACAGGTGTGCACCACCATGCCCAGCTAATTTTTGTATTTTTAGTACAGGCAGGGTTGCACCATGTTGGCCAAGCTGTTCTCGAACCCCTGACCTCAGGTGATCCACGCGCCTCGGCCTCCCAGAGTGCTGGGATGATAGGCGTCAGCCACCATGCCCGAGCTGAAATAGATCTTGAACTAGATTTTTCAGGAGGGCTACATGAGAGGTGGAGAGACATTCTGAAACCTGCTCCATCTTTGCTGTCTTCTCACAGGAGTGGCATGCTGTGTGGTTAATGAATGTGTGGATAATGAATGTCTCTCTCCAGCCCCTCCCAAGCTTTCTGTAGTCGCTGGTCCACTGTGTATTGCTGTGAAGAAGCTCAAGACTAGCCTGTATCATTTGGGGTCACGGCAGGAACTAGGTGCCACACTCAAACTGTGTAACTGAAGAGGGTTTAAATTGGGAGTTATTTACAAAGGTGTGGGCTGGTGTAGCTACCCATATGCCCTCGACGTCACCTCTACATGACAATAATTACTTATTGCTAATACCTGAGCCCCTCTCTCATTGCTGCGGGTATTTTCTAGCCATGCAGGCAAGCTCAGCCAGTTATGTTGAACAAAGTAAGAATGCCAGGAAGTTAATGTCCTGGAAGCATTGCCAGAGGGGAGGGGCAGATAGATCCCGCAGCTTCCTCGCTCCTCAGTTGGGTTAAGGCTGTGATATAATCATCATCTCCATCCACCCAGGCATGGAGCTCCAGGTGCCCAGGGTGGTGACCTGCTCATGTATTTATTTATTTTTTTATTTTTATTTTTTTGAGAGGGAGTCCTGCTCTGTCCCCCAGGCTGGAGTGCAATGGTGCAATCTCGGCTCACTGCAACCTCTGCCTCCCGGGTTCAAGTGATTCTCCTTCCTCAGCCTCCAGAGTAGCTGGGATTACAGGCGTTCACCACCATGCCCTGCTAATTTTTGTATTTTTAGTAGTGACAGAGTTTCACCATATTGGCCAGGCTGGTCTCAAACTCCTGACCTCATGATCCACCTGCCTCGGCCTCCCAAAGTGCTGGCATTACAGGCATGAGCCACCGCACCTGGCCTCCACTTTCCTGTCTTATTTCTGCCCCCACCCCCTTCCCATGTTTCCTCTTCCCAAATAAACAATTGCATTCAAATTTTTGTCTCAGGGTCTGCTTCTGGGGAAACCTGAACCTAGAGAGGAGAGTTTAAGGAAAGCAGCAAAGGGTAGTGTGGTACTCTGGGGCTGGTGAAAAAGGGAGCCACTGCCTTTCAAGAAAACAGCAGGAGGCCAGGCACAGTGGCTCATGCCTGTAATCCCAGAACTTTGGGAGGCCAAGCTGGGTGGATCATTTGAGGTCAGCAGTTCAAGACCAGCCTGGCCAACATGGTAAAAACCCGTCTCTACTAAAAATACAAAAATTAGCTGGTCATGGTGGCAGGTGCCTGTAATCCCAGCTACTCTGGAGGCTGAGGCATGGGAATTGCTTGAACTCGAGAAGCAGAGTTTGCAGCAGGCACATATCAACCCACTGGACTCCAGCCTGGGTGACAGAGTGAGACTCTGTCTCAAAATCAATCAATCAGTAAATACATAGGCAAGAGGGAACCTGGAGAGGGGAGGGCATGGAGAGGAGGGCCAGGAGGACTGTCAGGAACTGTGGCCTTGGTAGAGACCCAGTGACTATGCACGGAGGGAGAGGGGAAAAGAACATCCTGACCTCTCTCCTCTCACCTGCTGATCTCCTGCTGGTGCTCCCTGTTGACAAAACCCAACCAGAGCCAGAAGGCAGTTGCCTCCTTCCCGGTATCCTGTCCTCCCTCACCCCCACTGGCTCCCTGTAATGCCCTCCCATCAGCAGGGAGCCCAGGCTTCACAAAGTGCCCTATGAGAGCAAGCCACCTGGGGATCCTGTTTGTATAAAGTACAGATTCCAGTTCAGTAGATCTGGGATGGGGTCTGAACATCTGCAGTTCTAGTCAGCTCCCAGGTGATGTGGGTGCCGATGATTCCTGGATCACACTTTCAGTAGCTGGAGAACATTTTTCCAAAAAAAAGTGTGATTCTGTCTTGCCTCCACTTAAAACATTCCACTGACTTCCTAGAAATCCCAAATCATCACTGGGTCCCACAGCCCTGGCAAGATTCAGCTTCCATCTGACTCCCTAGCCCCTTGCTCTCCACTCTCTCGTCCTCTCTTTCTCCCTTGTTTGTGGATTTGCTAATTTATTTATGATGAAATGAAATGAAGCTACCATCCACCCCAGTACTGGAACATTATCAATACTCTGTGGCCGGGCAGGGTGGCTCATGCCTGTAATCCCAGCACTTTGGAAGGCCGAGGTGGGTGGATCACCTGAGGTCAGGAGCTCCAGACCATCACGGCCAACATGGTGAAACCCTGTCTCTACTAAAAATACAAAAATCAGCCGGGCATAATGTTGGGCGCCTATAATCCCAGCTACTCAGGAGGCTGAGACAGGAAAACCGCTTGAAACGGGGGCGGGGGGCGGGGGACGGAGGTTGCAGTGTGCCCAGATCGCGCCACTTCACTCCAGCCTGGCGCGAAACCCCATCTCAATACATAAATAAATACATAACCTGTAGCCGGGTGTTCTTTCCCTCCGTCCTTACCTCCTCCCAGCTCCTCACCTTTCACCTGAGGTAACCACTCTTCTTGTATCTATGCTCATGTTTCCCTTGCGTTAAACTTTTTCCACCGCTGCATGTGTCTAAACATGCACACTTTTGGTTTTGCATTACACATTCTAAAAGATGCACCGTTGTATGCGCTTTTCTGCATGTTAGTTTTTTCACTCAACGTTGTTTCTGAGACATTGTTTCTGCTGCTGTCTGGTTGAAACATTGTTTCCGTTGTTGTATGGCTGAAGTTCATTCCGTTTCACTGCGGTCTAACGTTTCATGGTGTGGCTATTCCGGTTTATTTGCCCACCTGGCCGTGGAGGGGCATTTGGGGGTATTTCCAAAGTTCCTGTTAATCGGAATCGCGCCAGTGTGAACATTCTGCACAGGTCTCCGGCAGCGCCTGGACGGGTTTCTTAAAGGCGAATGCCCAGGTGAGGCTCCTCTGTGTTCTCCCTCCCTCCGTGCTCCAGCCTTCCTCGCCTCCTTTCACTCCCAGCTCCCTGGAGTCTTACGCAGAATATCCTCTCCACCCCCACCCACCCCTAGTGAACTCCTGCAGTTTCTGCAGGCCACGGCTGGCCCTCCTCGAAAGCGCCCTTACTATATAATTACGTTGTGCGCTTCTGCGATGAGCGTCCGTCTATCCGGTGGAACGCATGCCCCTGGAGGCTTGCGACGCTCCCGGGGTCCCCGCTTCCAGCTCGGGCCTGGCGCACCGCAGCGTCCAGGCTGCAGGGGGACGCTTGAAAGTTGCTGGAGGACCCGGGGGGGGGGCGGGGGGGGGTAAGGCAGCTCCCACAGGTGGGTCTGGTTGGGCGCCGCGGGGCCGCAGTTTTCAGGTCCGCGGGCGAGGACGCCGGCTCCAGAATTCCAGGAAATGCGCGACCCGAGCCGGCGGGGCGGGGGCTCCAGCACAAGGGCGGGACGGGGGGGCGGGCCCCGGAGCGGAGTGGGGCGGGCAGGAGGCGGGGCCCAGCCCGGTTAAGAAAAGCGTGGCAGCCAGGCCACTGCGGGCCCCAGGGAAAGTCGAGTGGCCCACGAGCCTGCGGACACCCACCGGGCGTCGGCGGAGGGATCAGCGCCGGTGCGCGCGCGGAGACCATGGCCCAGACACCCGCCTTCGACAAGCCCAAAGTGAGCGCGCGCGGGGGCTCTGGGGACGGGGTCCAGTGCCTGGGCGGCCCGAGCGGTTTAGCCGGGCCCAGCCCCGGGCGTCCGAACCCCGGGAACGAACGGGGTCTCCTGCAAGCACGTTCTTCCTTCGGCTTAGGCCGTGGCTCGCCTGAGGGCTAATCGGGGACAATGGGGCAGAGGAGGTCCAGAACCCGGAGGCCTCCAAGGTCTGCTTCTGCCCCTGACTTGACCCCTCTGGGTCTCAGTTTCGCCGTCTGTTAAGTGGGCATCCTAGCACCTTGAGCGCTGTGTGGGCCTGAGCAGGGGCTTGAGGTCTCTGAAGCTCAGCTGTGCGATCGGGCTGATGTCTACTCGCATAGGCACCTGTGCTGTGCCTGGCGCGTACTGAATGCTCAGGGAGTGGAAGCAGCTTTGTACGCCAATATTATGGTGGTGAGCGCCAAGGAGCCCAGGTTTGTGGATGCGCCCCGGTGCGGGAATAGTCGTGGGCCCTGCCAAAAAGGGAGGGAGGGGAGCAGGGCACCCCCTTCCCCACGTCAGAGGAACAGGGGCTAGGTAGGCCCTGGGTTTGGGGCCCTGACAGGGTTCACTTGAGGCCAAGCCATGGCCAGCGGCCCCAGGGGAGAATCCCCTTGTCCTCCGCCCACCAGCTGTGGCGTCTTGGGACTGGTGGGGTCAGAGAGGGTCCAGACCCCATTGGCCTGTCTTAGAGTCCAAGGGGAGGGACCCAGGAGTCTGCCAAGCAGGGTGAATCAGCCAGTAGGGTGTGAGAGTGGGGGGTTGGGGGAGGAGTAGCCAACTGCAATCAACCTCAACTTACCCTTATGAGAAATAGGTGTGAGTGGCCCAGCACAGTGACTCACGCCTGTAATCACAGCGCTTTGGGAGTCTGAGTCGGGAGGATCACTTGAGTCCAGGAGTTCGAGACTAGACTGGACAACAAGCTAGACCCCATGTCTCCAAAAACGTATAGGGGAGGTGAGTGTGGTGATGCACTCCTGTAGTTGCAGCTACTCAGGCACTTTGGGGGGCTGAGGTGGAAGGATCGCTTGAGCCCAGGAGATCAAGACTGCAGTGAGCTATGATGGCGCCACTACACTCCAGCCTGGGAGACAGTGTAGACCCAGTCTTTAAAAAAGGAAGGAAGAAAGGAGAGAGAGATGGAGAGGAAGGAGGGGAGGGAGTGAGTATGTGTGTGTTAGTGTGAAGGAGACCGCCTGTGGGAGTGAGAGCCCACCTGCCTTCTTAAGAAGGTGAGGCCTGGCCCCCACTGCTGATGTCCCCAGCCCAGGGAGAATGCTCAGTTACACCCTGGCAGAAGCTGGGAGCTTTGAGGCACTGTACAAGCCCTCCTGCCCCCACCCCTGCCTCCTTCACATCTTACTGGAGCCAGGGGCCCATCATTAGCGCTTCTCCTTTCTTCAATGCTTTGGGCTGGGGACCCACCATACCCTGATGTGAATCCTATGGCAGTAGCAAACCTCCTTGATTGCAAGTGTGTTGAGAGCTGTGGAAGGAAACAGCAGGGCCCACTTCCAGAACACTTGCCGCAGGCGCCCAGTGGGTCCTCGAAGTTCTTCTGTAATAGCCCCATCAAGGGACGGGCTTATATCATTATTCCCGTTTTTGGCGTTGCCTGGTCCTCTCATCCGATTCAAGCTGGCAGGTCATTTCCCCATTGGGGCCTCAGTGTCCACACCTGGGGGGTGGAACACCAGCTGCTTATGTGGGTGTCCTGAGGCCACAAGGTGATGCTTGAGAGTGAAAGTAGAATGTTACCTGCCATGTGTTTGAAGCACGACAAATCTTGTATGACTGTAGGGAGGAACTTACCTGAGCTGGCAGGAGAAGTGGGAAAAACTATGAATCTCAGAGCCACTGTGACCAGAGCCAGCTCCCTGCCCTCTCGTGATGAGATAGAACAGATGATAGTTATAATTATTAGCATTACTAGCTGCAGCTTATGTAGTATTGATGGTTCTGTGCCCGGCACCATTCTAAACACATTATCTGCATTACTTCACTTAACCCAGGCACAGAAAGGTTAACAAGGCCCAAGATCACACAGCTGGGAAATGTCCAATCTGAGGTTTGAGTCCAAGGGAGGCTGGCATTGAAATCCCATGCCCCTAACCGTGTTTCCTGAACTACCGCTGCAGAAGCCTTTGGGGATAGAGGTGCTATTGTGCCGAGTGCAAACCTCCTGAGACGGGAGCCTTTGCTGTGCCCTTCAGCTTCTCATACCTGCCACCAGCTGAGGCCGGGGACCTGGACAGCTAGAAGAAAGCAGAGCAGGGCAGTGCTTTTCAAACTGCACTCAAATCACCTGACTTTTCATGTTCACGCCGGGATTCTGTATGGGTCAGTGGGGCCTGCGATGCTGCACTGCTGACAAGCTCCTGGGAGGTGCTGATGTCACTGATCCAGGATCAGACTGTATGTAGCAAAGCCCCGGGCATCTGCCTTCTGTTGTGCAGGACCCCTCCTGACTCCAGTGGAGACAGCACCAGGCTCAAGGGGCCAAAGGTGAGGTAGCAAAGAAGCTGCGGGGTTTTGCTGGGGGCTTACATACGGTGGAGAAAGTCCAGTGGCGGCCGGCTGAGCAGAAGAACTGCAACTATTTGTAAAAGCATGTATTTTATATAGCTTGCTTTCTCTCTTTCTCTCTCTCTCTTTCTCTTTCTCTCTCTTTCTTTTTTTACCTGAGATGGAATCTTGCTGTCTTCCAGGCTGGAGTGTAGTGGCCTGATCTTGGCTCACTGCAACCTCTGCCTCCCAGGTACAAGCAATTCTCCTGCCTCAGCCTCCTGAGTAGCTGGGACTACAGGCGCCCACCACCGTGCCCAGCTAACTTTTGTATTTTTAGTAGAGATAGGGGTCTCACCATCTTGGCCAGGCTGGTCCTGTACTCCTGACCTCATGATCCAGCCACCTCAGCTTCCCAAAGTGTTGGGATTGCATGTGTGAGCCACCACGCCCGGCCATACATAGCATTTCCATTTCACACCTTCCCCTAACCACCTCCACCTAGTAACCTTCATTTAACCCAAAACAAATGGCCTCTGTCCCCTATACCCCTACATGGCCAGTGTCCCATGGGATTGGGGTGGGGCTCAGATGGTCCTCATAGATAAGGAATGGATCTCCAGGTTGGCTGCTTCTGTATTCCTCCACTCGGAACTCTGAACACAGTCTGTGTCACACAGGGTCATTGTCAGGGGGTGCCCAAGTCAGGATTTTCCTGTCAGGCGCCTACCATACACCTACCTGGTTTGACTGAGCACCTGCTGGAGGAAGTAGAAAGGGGGATTGGAGGGGTGGCCTTTATCAGCCTGTGTCCACAGGTGGTACCAGGCACTCAGGCATTCTGTGTCCTGGAGGCCAGAGCTGATCACATGCCTCTTGTTATAATAACCATAACGATGACTATCCTTGGCATAGTCCTGAGTACCAGGTGCCTTCCGTGACTATGTGTTTGAGCCGGAGTCTCACTCTATCACCCAAGCTGGAGTGCAGTGGCACGATTTTGGCTCACTGTAACCTCTGCCTCCTGGGTTCATGCACTTCTGCCTCAGCCTCCCAGGTAGCTGGGACTACAGGTGTGTGCCATAGAGTCTCCCTCTGTTGCCCAGGCTGGAGTGCAGTGGTGTGATTTTGGCTCTCTACAACCTCTGCCTCCTGAGTTCAAGCAATTCTCCTGTCTCAGCCTCCCAAGTAGCTGGGATTACAGGCGCCTGCCACCATGCCTGGCTAATTTTTATGTTTTTAGTAGAGACAGTTTCACCATGTTGGCCAGGCTGGTCTCGGGCTCCTGACCTCAAGTGATCTGCCCGCCTTGGCCTTCCAAGGTGCTGGGATTACAGGTGTGAGCCTCCACGCCCAGCCAGGTAACTTTTATCTCAGAATCCTCTGGGTGACGTGACAAGGCATAGGTCTTTATCCCCATTTACAGATGAAGAAACTGAGGCTTAGAGAATAGAGAGACTTGACAGGGCTACACAAAATCTGAGAGCCTGGAAGCTGTAGACTGGTCCCGGTTGGGACAGCAGCTTTCAACTGTCCCTGTGTGCTGCAGAGGAGAATTAGGGCTAAATCAGCATGTGCCTTTTCTGTCTCATCTGAACGTCTACTCTGTCCTGCTTTGCACACCGTGACTCATTTAATGTTCACGTCAGCCCTCTAAGGAAGGTCCTGTTGTATTAGCAACTCTACTTATCCATGAGGAAACTGAGACTCAGAGAGGGAAGGGTACTTGCCAAAGTCGCACAGCCAGCAAGCAGCAGAGCTAGACTTGAACCCAGATCTGCCTGCGCTGAAGAAGCTGTTCATTGCTTTGCACATTTGCCAATCCCACTTTGTGCTAAAAACAGGAGGCAGTGTCGGGGGAAGAGTTAGAATCAGGGTGGCAGTGTGGGCCAGTGTGTTGGCCCCTGGCTTCAGATGTCCTGGGGTTGAATTTCTGCCTTGCTGCTTAGCAGCTAGGGTGCCTCAGGTAGGCAACTCCTGAACCTCAGCTTTCCCCTCTGTAAAATGAGATGACAAAACTAAGATCTTGAGGTTCTCAAGGAAACTGACATGCTGATTGTTGCTTGTGCAGTGCCAGGTTGGCACCAGGAGGCCCTCAGGGATGCACTTCCTTCTTGGGGCTGATGTAGGGGCTGCAGTGAACTCTGGGATGCTCCCCCAGCTGCAGAATCTCTCATCTTCCTGACACAGAGCTCCCCAGCTGCACTTCTTTGAGCTTGCCATGGCTTTCAGTTACCAGAACCACCTGTTAAAACAAAAATGTCCCTGGGAAGAGCCTGCCTTACCCATTTTAACTCACATGGCAATTGGTCGGGGAGGGGAACAAAGGAGAGTGAGTTTGTGGATGACTTTGCTTCACAGAAGAGGAAGGGAGGACCAGAAGGAGGAAGTGGTCTGTGGTCACACAGGGAGGCAGGGGGGGCAGACAGCCTCCCAAACCCATGTCTAGCCTCAGGGTGGACTTGGCCTGGGTG